TGGGAGTTGAAGTCCACTCATCTTAAAGTGGCCAAGTTTGGACAACACTGGTTTAGAATGACAGTCCTTGCAAGTGAAAACAGAGACAGGAACTAGCCAAGCTGAGTGTGTCTTTATTGTTCCTTTTTTCAAATGTCCGTGGGGGGCATGCAAGTCGTTGCCATTTCCCAGAACTTCAGAGCTGAAAATTATGAAGAGAAGAAAACCATATTTTTCTCTCTCTCTCTTTCTCTGTCTCTCATGAACTTTGAAGCTCTAGGAAATGGGAATTACCGTAAGACTTCAGACCATACCAGAGTTTAACATGGATTAGAGAGTGGATTGTCTTTCCTTACAGCTTGGTTACCTCTGGAAGGGGCAGAATTTCCAGACTGTGTGCATAAATATCTCTGGACTTGATATAAGCAGAAACAAACAACTTATAAAAAGTAATAAGAATTATTTCATAAATAAGTAAGCACTTATTTATAATCAGTTATGTATTGAATGTCTGGGATAAATATAGAAAAAAATAAGCCCAGATTTTTCTTCTCTTGCTTCATTATTAAATGTTTATTTTTACAAAGAGGAGAGTACAAAGAATTCACTCAGCAGAGAGATAACAATTCATTCAATTGCAAGATTTTATTATTAAAAAGATGAAAAAAAAATCTTTGGAGATTCTTACTTTACAATGATCTATTTTACCTGACTAGTTTTAATATCTTCAGATATGCAGCATAGTAGTAAAAGAATTGCAGAAAAAGAGGAAACAGACTTGACTGAATTTGAAAATTTTATAATGCTGAACTTGGAATTTCTGCTAGGTCTTACTTATAAACTGCTGACGAAATATGACTCAGCAACTGAACAAGTCAAAGATGGTGTGATTAAATGGATGCAGGAACAGTTATGCAATAATGGAAATTTTAATTCAAAAAGAATATTAAATCTATTTTGCATATTTTACTTAGAGAGAAATGGTATGAGTTGTTTTATTGTTGGTATATTACTGCAGTCCTGATTGGTCAAATGAACATATTTTCTAAAAATTGCTGGAAATGTAAGCATATGGTGGCAATGTTGTAAAGCTCAACAGTTTTGGAAAATGATTCATGCCAGGATGAAAAAGATCTTTAAAGGTGAACTCCTATTTCAATCTGTGATACTTTTATTAAAATTTACTCAATGATATATTCTTTCAAAATATATTGAGTTAGCTTTGTATATGCAAGGATGCTATAATCTTTATACTAGAAACAATGTTTGATCCACTCCATGGAAGAACAGTGCTATGAGAATGTGCTTCAATGACCAGAATATCTCATATCTTAAAGTAAATCTGACAAAAAATTTCATTCAAGTTGAGCACCATTCCTAGATTACAGTTCAATACATGGATCTGTATCAGATCCAAAATGTGAGCTTCTCTTGTATCAAGTCTTTATTTTGATTTTATACAATTTTTAAACTAGAACAGACTTTTAATAACATGGTTAGAATTTACTGTATCTCATAGTTTTATTCTGTCATTTAGATGATGCTGACCATGATTCCTGATATGTTTTGTATGGAGTTTAATATTAATTTTCAGGCTTTTAAAACAACATCATCATATACTCAGTTATTCACAGTCAACAATATGCTGGAAAATATCTCTGTGACATCCGTAAGTCCCTTGCTTATTCTTTGGTACAGTATTTTATTTCTTTAGCTTTGTTGTAGGTGGTGTTCTTTTTCTTTGCCTGTTTATACATTTTCTTTGAAATGCCTAATAATAATATATGCTTTTTTAAAAAAAACTTCATACCAACCTTTGGGAAAGAGAATACCCTGGCAATACAGTCTAACTGTAATGGAGCATGTGCTTATAAGTTCATGATTCTGTTTCTCTTATATAAACAGCTCAAATTTTGTACCTCATAGAAATTATTTCCGTGGCAAACTATACTATAGTCCAGGGTTCCTCAACCTCAGCAACTTTAAGATGGGTGGACTTCAACTACCAGAATTCCCCAGCCTGCTGCCTGGGGAATT